GTTACGTAACAACTATGCCTCAATCTCAAACTTGTTGGGTTCCACTATTTCAATAAGGGGTCATTTTGGTTCACCAACTAGTTACGCGGAAATTATTTTTCTAGATGAAAGTTATGAACTTATGCGGGGATTGTTTGTGTTGATTATTAACAAATGGATTGTTACGCGGGGATTCTCATCTGCTAATGCTCGCATTTTTATTTTACATTCTCTCCCGCATAAAACAATATATAGATTCCCGCATAACTTGGTGCAGATATTATTTGATACCACCAACCAAGCGTTGCATTAAATAATGACGCACATATTTTTTCTTACGCAACCAACCAAACTTTGTATTATTTCATGCAGGATTTTATGCTGGTATTAGTTATACACTTATACCACACAATCAACCAAACGACCCCTTAAAAGTTAAGGATTTGAACCGGAGACCCATGGTCTCCTCCCACTTCATTGACCGCATGTTTATTTCTAGTTATTATGGTCAATCCTAGACAAACATTTCTAAAATTGGCAGGAACTACACCTCAGCAGATAATCAGATATATAATGTGATGGGCTGATAAAAGGAGACACACCATTGTCACTGTTGATCCTGTAGGACGAGAAGCATGCTCCAGCCCACTGCTACGATGAAGAACTTTTGCTCCACATCCAGATATATCAGCTGTTCCGACAGCCTCTTCATCAACCAAGACAACCTCTACAGAGTCCTCGCCTGGCTTGCTTCCAGGAACCTGTGCACAATATTCCAAGTTATGGTTTATGAGAACAGCTGTGACTTGTACAAAGGATCCTCTAAGTGCCATGTAGCCGAAAAAAGCACACAGATTCAAGAGCTATGTAAAGACGTCGATTTTTAAATGGACAGGCTGCATTAAAATCAAAGGCAGACTTGACAAAGAAAGCAATGTTTCACTGAGGCACCGTTTGGGAATGTGATGCGTTTGAGCATGAAAAAAGCAATTCTTTAAGTACTTGCTACATGATTAAAAAGACATATAGGGTGTGTTTGGTACGAAGGAAAATATTTTCCGGAAAATATTTTCCAATTTTCCCATGTTTGGTTGGCTTAAATGTTTTGGAAAATATTTTCTTCATCAACTCATTTTCCTTCAATTGGAGGAAAATGTTTTCCTTATCAAGAGAATGGGAAAACATTTTCCAAAACTCCTTCTCAACCTTCCCACCCTATTCCCCATCCCCGCCAACCCACTCCCACACCCAGCCCTAACCCCCGCCGCCCCACACCCAACCCTATCCCCCGCCCCACACCCACCCCTGACCCCCACCATAAATAACAATATTATTAACACTATTTTCTTTTCATTATTAGATAGATTTATTTTTACATTTCAACAAATGAGTATTTTTTTTTTACATGATATAAAACAGTATTTTTTTCATTTCAACAAAAAG